CATGTCCTTTTCTCTTGCCATCAGTGAAAGGTAGAACTGATGCTCCCATCCATCACAAGCTGGACACTGAGCCTGACTGATATTTCAGCCCTTTTGGGCATCTCATCTTTTACAGAAGAGTGGGACCAGATTTACTGGATTTTGCCTTTTATTTTTCCTCTTATGTAACCTGAGGCTTCCTCATGATGTTGCAGGACAAGTGCACTGTGAATGCATATATATATACATATATATATATACACTGAGGAGGTGATCCCATCATTGCAAGCCCCCACCAAGCAGAAACCTCTCAGCATCCAAGTCCATCAGGAAGGTCTTGGGCAAGTTCAGTCAGATATAGAGCTGTGCTATTTTCATTTTTGCATTTGGAGCCCCTCTTCTGACTTTGATACAGACAAGCAGAAGCAATCAGTAAACTGCCTGCCCTTACTTGGAATATGGACTGCTCAGGGCATTCATTCCATAGCTTTTAGCAGGACGGCGGAGCAGTGCCAAGGAACCAGGAGTATCCCTCAGCCATATGGAAGCTGCCTGAGCTGTTGAACCTGTGATCTAGGGGGCTCAATTCTCTAAGGAGAGTCACTGCATGGTCAAGTGTCCTCAACAGCCAAGAGACAAGGCTGCCCTGGAGACAGGGGTTCTGGCACATTGAAAGGTCTGACCAAGGACCAAGATTATTTTTTTTCTTCTTCTTTGAGACTACTCCAAAAAGAACTTGCACACTGATTTTTTTTTCATATTTTCTTCCCACCCATCTCTTTACTAAAATACCTGAATAAGGTCCAATTGGTTTATGAATTTCTCTATGCTGTCTGGAGGATCCTTGTAATTCCCCATGGGAAAATCAGTCATACAGAAGGCGTTCAGCAGAGCATGGGGAGGAGGGATGAAATCTGGTAAGGATGCCTGGGAAATCTGCCACAAATGCCTGAGATGTAGAGAGAGGATCAGAAAACCTTGAGGCTCCCAAGTGAGTGTGAGGTTCCAGGTGTAGTTCTCTGATGTGTTTCTTCCCAGCAGAAAGTGGGGGAATCCTTCACCTTTCCTCATCTTACTCTTTCAGCACTGGATTCTTGTTGCTTGGCACCTCCTAACCCTGAGGATAGATAATTTGTTCATTGAATTTTCTCACGCAAGCTGGGAAGCAGAGTCCTTCTGTCAGCTTTAATATATATGTGTGTTTTAATAATGAATTACTGTTGATTTTATACAAATATCTCTAATTAAGAACTTCAAAATCTTTGATGTTTTTTTCCCCCTGCTTCCCTCCCATGCCCACCCCCATCCCACCCTCCACAACCCCCTTCTCGATTTTGTACTTTTTGCTGCTGCTGCTGTTGACACTCCCATGCAATTCAGCCTTGGAGAAATAAATATTTGTTTAGCTGTTCTCCTGCTGTGCCTGCTCAGTGCATTTGCTTAATGATGACTTGAGTTCAGCTTTGCAAGGGTTTTAGAGCAAGAGATTCAGAGAGAACAACAGACTCATTTGTGGACAACCTGACCCGTGTTCTTTCCCCCCTTTCCCCAGAGTAGAGTTTGATTAAATAAATGTGAATGCAAAACGCTCCTTCTTTGCCATGGGTTTTCATAGTCTTTGTTTCAGCATTATCAGTTGCCAAGATCAGTTCTGGTAAGCAATCAATTGTCTGTGTGTTTATTTTTCCATCCTATTTTTCTTGAGTTGAGACAGTGAGTAGAAGGTTGAACTCAAGCAAGTACCTGCAGTCCTTCCTTGCCACTACTTGAATTGTTTTGAATCTGGAATTTTCTTCTTTTCATCTGAAATACAAAATCATGTTCTGGCTTGTAACATTTATTCTAGAGCCAAGCCCAAGCTGCTGTTTCCAAACTTGCATGTGTTCATATTTGAAAGGTTTACATTATATTTTCTCTCCCTCACCCTCCTTGAGTCAAATCAGAGATCTTTCTTCTTAGTGAAGATATCAAGTTGATCTGTGCCATCAGACTTTTTGTTGTTATTTTGTTTTGTTTGCAATATGGGGACAAAGTTAACATTCAGACTCTACATTTGTGCATCTAAGTGAAGCCCCAGCCCTGGAAGTGTAGCACTACCTGGTAAAGAAATGAACAGATGATTTTATTAATGAGATGATTTTATTAATGGTGTGGCCACCATTTGAAGGTTTGTGTTTTTTTTTTTTTCTTTGCACAGGTGAAACTGGAACTTATCTTACAAAAAAAAAAAAAAAAAAAAAAAAGGAGAGAGAAAAGGAAATAAAATTACAACATAAAATAGCATTATAAAATGCTACTTCCAAACTCTGGAAAGATCTAAATTTTGTTTTCTTTTTTGGCCATTTAAAAATCCTTCTTCGAATTATTTACTTATGCTTCACTTCTGAAATATGTCAAGTATAATTTTGCCAATAACTAGATCCAACTTCTGAGCTATTTTCTGCCAGAAAGCAAAAATCACTTCAGTGAAGTAATACATCAGATCTCTCTTCATCTATTTCCAGCTGATGAGGTTTCAGCTTATAGCAGAGATTGTTTTTTATTAGGCCCTGAGTACATGACCTGGCACTTGTGCAGCTGAGTTTCATCTGCGTACTATCACTCCAGTTCTCAAAGTCATCCCACTGCTTTTTTTTGTATGATACTCAGAGCCTCCTCCATAATGATGATTCATTCCACATTGTGTCATCAGCAAATTTTGTTGGCATGGTCCTCCTTTACTGTGCCAAGGACTGTGATGAAAATATTATGTAAGATTTATATCAAGAATAATCTCTGAGGAATTCAACTAGTAACCTTTCTCGAGCCTGATTGAAATCATGGGAAATACAGATATAAAAAGGAGCTCGTGTCCAAACTGTATCCCAAAGATAGATGGACAGATACCTGACAGATACTTGCCCAATTTGTTCTTAAACGTAGTTGATGAGATTCCATAATCTTCATAGATGTTCTATGTCAATCAGTACCTGAGTTTCCTAACTATGGGAGCATTTCTGTGCCCAGTGTCTGTCCTAAATCACTTCTCTATCATTTCTCTAGTTTTTTTCCTGTGGTGAGCAGTGCCATGTTCTGACACGTTGTCTTCTTCTTTGAGCTGGCTTCGTACATGCTTCGTACACCCATATTCACCAGCTGATGCTTTTGTACATTAAATGTTCCACATTCATTTGAACATGAAGCACAGTCCATTGAAATCAGTGTGTACCTCCAAGAGTATGATCATCTTCCTTTCTGTTTCTGATCTTAAGTGAAGACAGAGCTTTCCTCAGTTCCAGAGTCTTGGTAGTCTTTTGAAAACTTTGCAGGTATTCAGAGAACTTTCCCTCTTCCAAACCTCCTTGAGTATTTCATTCCATAGAACAAATTAGCAATTAATTTCCCCATCAGTTCTTAAGAGCGCTTTATCTCCCTGTCCAGGTATTCAGAGCATCCTCAAGTTTCCTGACATGCAATTTGAAGAAAATTATATGATAAGTATATAGCAGAATACATTCTGTGTACTTTTTACCACAAAGCTAAATATTATGTTACCACAAAGACGACGTCACATTTAGAAAGCTCTATATATAATGCTAATAAGAAACCCAATTCCATCTTACTCTAATTAACCTGGAAAGGCTTCCTTTTTATAACATGAGAGCCTTGAAAACATTCTGAATGCTAATAAACCCACAGGTATTTCCGTTCTTTGTCTTCTGGTATACACTATTCATCAAGAATTGTTGCTTATTTCAGTGTTAGCATGACTCTCTCAGTCTACAGGATTTTAACATTTTGAATGATTGCATCTCTTCTATTTATTTATTTATCTTATTTACTAGAAAAAAAAAAAAAGAGTCGTATCCCCTGGTTCTGATAAGATTTGATACATACTAACATTGTGTTAGTAAAAGAAGATGCCAGGTTCTATAGGAGGACCCCCTGGATAGCTCAGATAATTCACCGTGGGCACAATGACTGAACCATAAGCTATATGTTAAGGGTTCTTTATGTTTCTCTGGCAATGTGAAAATCTCAGTGCAGAAGATACTAAGACTTTCTACACAGTCAAACCAAGTTGGATCTGCTATGCTTCTTTTTTTTCTCCTCTCTCTAATGGTCATTAGGTTGTGCTAAGCCCAGACTGACTCAGTTTAATGGTTATTAGGTTTTTGATAGGGTCTGGTAGCCAAAATGAAATCAGATTCCATTTTTCTGTTTAGTTGGTAGAAATAGGCTCTAAGACTTAAATCAACCTGATGATCTCCCCTTGAGTGTCAAGATGTCATGCCTTCAAAGGAGAGCTAAAGCTCATTTATGGAAATACTTGGAATCCTTCCCTCCACCCCTCAAATGAATAGCCATAAAGCTGTATGGTTCTTAAAGCCAGATCTTCAGTAATAGCACAAAATACTGTCCTTTGTACTGTGCTGCTAACGCTGTTAAATAGTGTAGTATATTTTTCCACCCAGAGAGCAACATCCAGTTAACATTCTAAGTTAGTGAAGTGGAAATTTGTGTGACCTAATTTAAGAATTAATCAAATATCTTAGGTAAAAAAGTTTCACTAAGATGTAAATACTATTGTATTTCTACTTTGCTTAAAGAGTCTAGGATAAGGAGTTGGGGGGAATGCTTATGGTATAGGAGAATGCAGCAGAGAGAAGGAACTAAATATTCAAATAATGATCCATCATAACTTCTGAGATGGAGGGTCTGGAGAGTTCCCTTTTGGCTCGTGTATACAACAGGCTTTCTTTAAGTATTATCCAAAAGGGAAGGAGAAAAGCTAATGTGACTTGTGAACTGAGATTAATTTTGTGAAAGTTTTCAAGATGTTATTTATAGCCTATACACCACAATTGTATTTCCATTAATGGTCTCTCCAGGCCACCATTGAAAAATATCACAGTCTCAAATAACATAATTGGGATTTGGCAACGCGAACTTTGCTGTTTTCTGTTTTAACAGACTCCTTCCCAACCCTTCCCTTGTTCCACTCATGAACTCTTCATGTCTTTGTGTTCTTTCCTCTGCAGTCCAGTACATCCTTCAACCGAGATGCTGTGAAAGCAGGGACAGGCAGGCGTTTTCTTGGTGGGCTGTTAAATGATACGTCCTACTGCTACACACTGGAAGTCTCATTCTACAGCTACATCGTGGCTGGAACTACAACTGCTGTCCCCTACACAGAAGAAGCATGTATCCTTTTGAAATCCTGCCTCCTCTTGCAGCGCACGTGAACTGAGCACTTAAGGTAAATACTTCTATCTCAATAAGAGTTTGCTGAGATAGGAACACACAAGTAGAAATGTGAGTCTGCTCCTGATGCTTTAATTTCCCTCATATTGATTCTCCATACTGTGGAAATTCAAGAAGAGAAAGGCATATTAGATCAAATAAGCTATTTCCCTCTTGTAGGAGATTGTCTCACACACTTATTACAGAAACTAGTCCTGGAGAGCCTCTGATCCATTCCCTTCCACAGTCTTCCATTTCTTTCTTCATTTCTCCCCTTATTCTCTCATTATACCTGTGTTTGTATCATTGTTTTAATAGCAGGTTGAAAGTACATCTTTGGTGCTGAGTTAAAATATCTTCTCTGCCTTTGAACTGCAGCCAAAAGACTCTAAAGGGTCCATTAGGTTCTGCAGCTGCCTCAGGGCCAGATCTTTAATACTGGTTGACAAAGAAATGGAAAGCAAGCTCTACAAATAAAACTGACAGAGTTGTTCGCATTTTTGAGGACTCGTGTACATGCAATGTCTCATTGCTCAAAAAACACGTATCCATCTGGCTATCTCAGTGTATCAACAATTTGTAGAATTCTGGTCTAATGATCTGTTTTTATGTTTTTCTTTTACTTTTTGTCATTGTGCTTAATCAAATAACTGGCACCCACACCTTAAGCTTGGGCGTGTTGTTTCATTTTGTCATTCTATCTTGGTAGCTTTTGAAGTTTCCACAGGTTTAGAAATATTGCAGAGGGAGGAAGATTAGCTGTGATTGCCTATTTACCTCTCCACTGCATTTTGGAAGTAGGGGAAGGTTTACAGCTTTAGGGTAGCGAGGGAAAATTTTTCATATGACACATAATTCTTCACTATCTGTGTATGTATGCACATGGTGGGAGAACCGGGGAGAAAGAAAAAAATTCTTAATCATTTGGGTGTGTTTTTTGTTGTTGTTTTTTTGGTTTAGTTTCTCTTAAAGCAAAATTTGGAGGAAGAAGGGGACTGAATATATCAAGGTGATTTAGAACACTTTATCATTTGAAATACAAGCTCCTTTTTGCCCAGTAAGGTTAAATATCTCCAAGGAATAACTTGCACAGCACACGTATATACTGCATCTTGCCACTGAGAACAAAATGTTCATGTTGTTAGGTTTGGGTACTTATTTTCTTACGTTGGTATTTTGGCCTTTTAAGAACATGTGCCTTAGTTTCACTTTTAATTTTCCTCCTCACTTAGTACTCATTGTACTGACAACTGCTTATTTATCAGCCTTATTTATCAAAAGCAGTTTTAGCAGTGAGGAGTGGGAAGAGTCCCAACACAAATGAGATCATGATTCCCTTGGATACATTTTTCTTGATGACTTGTAGGTCATGCTGGCTTAGTTTCTTTTTCCATGAAGGTTTTTTTATTGTGCTTCACATTACAGAGGTTTTGGGTGTGGGGTCTAGTGTCTCTACCCATTTGCTTGGTTTGTCTTCTTCAGACAGCTGCATTATTCTCAGCTCGCTCATTGTACCTGTCAGCAGCAAGCAGGCTCCAGTTCACAGATAACCTTCTTGTTGGTGAGGTGTGGCAAACTCAGGTATTGACTTGATTTCCACAGTCCCAGATTTACCTAGCTGAGTGAAAAAGGAGAAAAGGCTGGTTTTGACCAGACTGGCAGAGAGCAAGCAAGGAAGACTGCCCATGTAGTATGCACTGCTGGCATTTTGCCTTGGGTAGGTTTTATTATTTCCTTTTCAAAAGGATTCAGGAGGGTTGCTTATGACAGCTCTTCCTCATGTGTGCAGTTTCCTAGTTAGAGAAAGAAATGGAGCTGCTTGAGGCAGTCTCTGGGCTGGTCTGCTCTAACACAGGAGCGGCTGGATTTATGCACACTGTATCCTGGCAAGGGAGAAGTTTCATCTCACAGAAGTGCCTGTGACCAAAAGTAAAACAACTGCAGAATGTTCCCATTTAGCTTGAACAGTTCTTCCAAGCTATTTGCAAGTCAGTGATTAATTAATGCTCAGATTTTTTAATGGACCTGAACCAAAGACACAGGCAGTCAGCTCGCATTGGCCTCCAAGGACAGGCGTGCTTCTATTAACTATCTAGCTACATGCAGACAGCAAGTCAAGCAAATAAATGAAGAAAATACAGTGAGCCCAAATACCGTGAACTGATAGGGAAAGTTTGCAGGAAATCTGCCTTCAAAGCCTTATTTCTTAGGAGTTTTTTGTTGTTGTTGTTGCTTTGTTTGTTTGTTTTGTTTGTTTGTTTGTTTTGTTTTGTGGTTTTTTTTTTTTTTACTTTCTTAGGATGAACATCCCACCGTGATGCTATTAGGTTATAGAGTTGTTTTATTGTTGTTTTATTTCGTTTTTGAATAGAAACTGGATCAGGGTGGCTGAAATTGTTCAAAGCTTACAGTGTTAGATGACAAAGTACAAATTGAGACTAAGCTTCCAATTTGGAGAATGGACAGAATTTATGCAACCCACAGTCTTGAGCAGAGCCTATGGAGGACACCATACCCCATATTCAGAAACGAGCTATACTAGCTCATGTAGAGATCAAAACAACTGATAATCTCCAGATTCTACAAAGGTATTTATTTAGCCCAACATTTTTCTAGAGTTGCCTGGTAGAAATAAAGCCATCTGACAGGTGAGAAAACTGAACAAACTGTGAATAGTCTTCTGTTTGCACTGGTGGCATACAATTCTACCTGTCAGCCTCTTTCATTTACAGCATTCATGGCAAATAAGATCACAGTACCACCCCCTTTCATGCCATTGTACAAGGGTATGAATTTTTTTTTTTACTCTCTTCATGTTCCTTAGGGTTTAGGTGCTAACACCACAGTCTGTACAAGCCTTTATGTGAGCCTGTATTAGATATGTTTCTGCACTGGATAAGATTATGCATTTTGTTCAGACTTGCATGACTGAAACATACTTAGCAATTGTTGAGATAAATGGGTACCTTACATATGTGAAAATGGGAGATGAACTTTCAGCATAATAGTGTTACTTAAATTCTGACATTGTCAGTGTGGGCAGTAACTTTTTTTTTTCAACAAGAAAAGAAGAAAATTAAAAATAGCAAGGGAAGGTATCATTAAAAGTGAAAATCTTTTCCCAGTTTCTCCAGTTAGTATGACTGAATATATTCTCCAAAATTAATACCTCAAAGATTGAGCATTCAGAGGATTACATCTAGATTGTTCTGTTAAACAAACAAACAAACAAACAAGCACAGAATTTACTTTAAATGAAATCTGGGAGTGAAGGAACTTCCATCACTCTGTGCAGTGTGTGTATGCTTGGGGATCCCAGCATCCTGTGGGGTGATGGATTTCTGTTCTCTTCAAAAATAAAGAGAGCTAACATGGTTGTATGAATGTCTCAGGCCTTTATTAGCCCGATGTAGGTGATGGTTATTGCTGGAGTGCCTCTTGTGCTTTGCAGGATGGAAATGCTGCATCAGGTGTAACTTCCTGAATGTCCTGTTACACATTCTTTAAGAGGTACGTGTGTGCTTGGTAGGTCTGTGTCTAACTGATAGGTACCCTACGATAACATGTGCTGTAGATAACAGTGAATGGACTTTGTTTCGAAGGCATAATAAAAAAATTGTGGGCTTGTTGGAAGTAAGTGGACAGAGAAATGTTTAAAACCCTTCTCACACATGCACATGTTTGATGGCAACTGATTAAAAGGTGGCATAGCAACAGTTTGCTCAGCATCAGGTAATGAAGCTTTAAAATGAGCTGATACGCTTCCATAAAATACCATGTTTTACTAGGCACTTACTGGGCTTATGACACAAAGCATGTAAACTGTCCACAGCACTCGCCACCAGCAGCTCAGCTGCTGAGCTGTCTGGATACACACCAGCCTCAGAGCTGGGCAAGGAGCAAAGGATAAAAGAGGGGGAGGAAGGATGAAACCCCAGCTGCAGGACTCAGCGCTGCTCTGATAGCACACCCAGAATTGCTTTTTCACTGTAGCTGCTGAGCAGCAGCCATCACAGCCTGACCTGAGAGTGGCAAGTAAAGGAGCCTCATATCAACAGTTTTCAAATCTATTGGGTTCATTTTTTTAGAGTGTTTGAGTAGGATCCCTGCTGCACAGCAGGCAGCCCATAAGAGAGCATAAAGGGTTTCGCTCCTCCAAAGCCTTGCCATGAGGTGGAAGATAGAAATGATGGAGATGAGGCAAGGATTGGTATGATTGTAGCCCAGTAGCTGTAGAGAGAATAATCATCCACATAGGTGGGCAACAGAACTAGCAACGTGTCCTCAGCTGTGGTGTGTTTTAATCTTAATGGTTTCTCTCAGGTGGGGGAGGCCCCCACCCAAAGACAGGCCTTTAATCATCTATGTATATGGATTTACTTGTTGAAGTCACTTCTGAGTGGAGCAGGAGATGGGGTGTCTGATGGAATGATTCTCCTTTGTACGGCTAAGTGCATCAATTTACTTCTTTGATTCAAAGCCCTCAATATATAGAATGAATTTAATGATACTTCTTTTGGAAAAAAAAAAACGAAAAAAAAAAACACTTCGGAAGTAATGGGTGAAGAACACAGAAGTAAGAGATATTCCTACTATTCTCCCAAGGTAAGTCTTTTCACATCACAAACAGCTGAGAAATGAGTTTGATACTTTAACACTATAGCTGAACCAACTTACAGTGATATGATTTGGTATTTTCCATTTCACTGTATGTGTTGAACCGGAAGCTTTGCATCCATTAAACAAGGCACAGTTGCACTGCTAAACTCTCTGCCGTGTTTATGGACATAAAAGATGTCTTTATGTGGCTACAGCTTGCATGCATACTGGTACACGCAGAATGAAAGCTTAGATCGACTGGAGTCTCTTCAGGCACCTAGCAGGTACTTGAATCTTGGACTGTCAGCACAGTTGGGACCACCAGGTTTGCTCTTATTCTTAACTTTTAAGCCTGCTGCTTG